TAAGAGGGAGGCTGGTCCCTTTGCAGGGCTCGGACTTGCTCAGCTCAGGACAAAAGATGGTGGCATTGTGGGGGTTTGGGGGGGCACTGCTAATGACCTGGAGATGGCAGAGACACAGCCAAGGAGCGGGGGAGCTGCAAGGTCAGACCCCGAGAGTTTGCTCCAGCCTACAGCACGCTCCCCTCGGCGCCGGCCCCACGCACCTTCCACACAGTGCTCCACCTCCTCCAGGTTCCGCAGGGTGATGCGCATGAGGCTGGAGTTGAGCATCAGCTCGTTCTTGTGGGCTGGCCACAGGTACCGGGGCGCAGGGTTCACAAAGAAGATCCTTGTGTCCCCCGTGGACACCTGGTTGTCACAGATGAGGGGGTCTCCAAAGCCGCCGATCACCACCTTGTTGCCGCCGTCCATCAGGCTCTCCTGAGTCACCACATCTTTGCCCTTCAAGTACCGCCAGACCCGAACCTGGGGGGGGGGGAATGGGGGGCAGGTATCAGCGATCCATGCCCACTGGGAAGAGGAGGCCACAGAGGCCAGAGGCAAACTGCAGACGGGGGTGCCTGGGCCTTTTCCTCCAGGAAACAGCTCCCAACCCCCAGGTCCAACTGACCCCGATTCCAATAGTGTCCATGTCGGCTCCGGCCGGGTACGGGAAGGGGACCCACCTGGCCTGGGCTGCCTGCCTTCCCTGCCTTCCTCTCCCTATCTGCCCACCCACTGCTCGGGCCTGCCCTGGACGGAGCCAGGAGACACTAACATGGACGACAGACTTTCAGGGCGACAAGCTCTGAGCTCAGGGCTCCGGGCCAGCTGCATTCTCTGCAGCCCTGTGGGTGGGCTGCTACCCCCTCCCGGGAGATAAAAGACCCCTCCTCCTGCCAGGCTCCAGGGGCGGTGAGTGCAGTAAAAGCAGCCCGAGAACCACAGAATCAAGTTTGGGCAGCGCAAGGCAGCCCCACCCGCCCTGCTCGGCTCTGGGGGCCCCGAGGGCACCTTCTCAGACTGTGCCCTGGGATGCTCACAGCCCACACAGGGGTGGGGAGTGGGGGCGGCAGGAGGGTCGCAGGAGATGCAGGCTGAACAACAGGCTGCCCTCAAAGGAACAGGTCCCCCAACAGGAGCCCAGCTCCCTGAGAAAGGCCTCTTTCTTCCGGAGCTCTGGGGGGCTGGGGTGCTGGAATGGGGGATGAAAGACAGCGGTGGCCAGTTCACCTGCCTCGGTCCCCCCTGCTGGGAGCCCCGGTCTGCAGCACCTGCAGGGACCCCCACCGCCCTCCAGTGGTCTGGGTGAGCCTGGCCCAGCCCTCTCCCTCGGACCTCCAGACACACAGTAGGCTCAGAAGGACAAAACCAGCAGGGGGAGGGCGGGCAGCTTTCATCGCCTCCCCCCCCCCCAGCCACACCCAGGAGCGGCGGGGAGGAAGTCGGGAAAATCCTGCAGGGACTTGGCAAAGTGCCCCGAGGTGGAGGGGAGGGGGCCCAGCGGGGAGCCCAGCAGTGGCCGTCACAGGCCGAGCCAAAAGGAGCTGCTGCCCGTTCCCATCTCCTAGCAAGAGGAATGATCCGATGGCGGGTCGGGGAGGGAGTTTTAGGGGCCAGAAGTGGGGGAGGGGCCGGGGTGCCCTGAGCACACCCTAGGAATGGACCGTGGTTGCAAACCCACCATCCTACCCGGGGCTGCCGAGTCCCGCTGCGGGAGAGCCCGCAAGCCCCCCTCACGTGGCCGGGGGAAATGGGGTTCCTCCAGGA